TATTTTTTTATGAAGTTTAAAAATATGTAAAAATGGGGTTCCAATTTAAAAAAATGGTTAGCTATAAAAAAAATAATTTAGCCAAAATGTTTCCCCCAAAAAACTATAAAACTTCTGTCTGAAACTTTTTTTTATAAAATACATATTTTCGGTGGTCTTTAACTGTAACACTTTAATTTGAAGTTGTAGTTTGATGTTGTAACAGTTTGAGTTCCTTTTCTAAAGGTCTTAGTTTCAAATCTCGAGGTGGTTTTAATTTAATTTTATAAACTAGTCAAATTCATAAATTCAAATATTTATCTTCAATATTTTTAAAATAGTTCTGTTATCTTAGTAACCTCTGAATTAATTTTTAAAATTTTGTTTAGAGGAACGTAGAGAAAATATACTGTATTAATTGAAAGGTGGCGATACAATTTCTCCTTGCTAAGGATTACATATTGTAGAATTAATCGCACGTAAACCCATTTATTATACCTCCGAGGTATTAAGTATTTCTACTTCACCTTATGCAGTTTGTGTTTTGGGCCATTTAAATCAAACAATATTTTAACTATTTATTTCAACGAAAATATAAAATCATTGTCTTGATGCACCAATATTCTTTTTTTTTATATATATATAAAAACGAATTTAATAACATTGATGTCCTTCCATGGCTAACAATTGCGGCATTTTCACTTCATAATCCAATACAATGAGAAATAAAAACAATATAAGTCTCATCGATACCTATACTCACATTCCACCTGCTAATAAAAACAGTTATTATTTTCGAAAACTTGGCAACTTGTCCAAACCTCGACACAATAGAATTCGAGCCTCTTTTTACAACCACTGCAGCCCAGCAATTGTTTTCTTCCCCAAGTCAGGTACCAGAGATTTGAGTTGTCGATAGACGACCAGATAGATTGTCGACATGGCCTTATCTCTTGATGCTTTCAACTCGGCTGGGCGATAATAAGGAAGGTGTACTAATTGTAGGCTTGTTTTATAGATATGAGACGGTCGGCGCCATGCTGTTCAAAGGTTCGAGTATAATTAAGTACCCCTTTATGGTAATGGCAATGGGGAATCAGAAACGGCGAGGAAATATTAGTTCTATTAATTTTTCCTTGTCATGACATTAATCATTTTTGTTGAAAATTAGCACGAGACCCAAGGTCGAGAAGCGTAGAATTAAAAAAAAAGATTTTCGTATTCTAATACTATTTCTTTTATACAGGGAGTAACAAAAATATGTACAGTAAATTTAACCACAGTTTCTGGGGTCGAAAATAAGTCGATCTAAGCTAACTTGCTTTTACAAAAAATGGATGGTAAAAAAGTTACAGGGTGTTGAAGTAAAAAAATTGGAATTGATAGGTCGGCATATTTTTTAAAAATTTTATAATATTGACCAATTATAGTGAACTTGCGAACAATTTTGGTTTTAGTGTCTGGTACCGTCACCAAAACTGCTTCATTCAAATCATTAAAATTTGAAATTTTCATCTGATGTAATTCATGTCGTCTGCATGCACCCATTACACCCATAATTAACGCAACCTACAATAAAAATTCACAAATTGAAAATACTTTGTATTACACAAATATAAAAAATAACGTATTTTAAATATAAATAACCTACTTTTGTTACTAAATATATCTCATCGGGAGCTTCTTTTATAAATTTTTCGATTTCATTTGACGTAAAAGTCTTCGACTTTTTCGGTTTGTATCCGTCTGACTGCCGCTTGAGAAATGCTTTCAATTTCAAATATTTGCTAATATCTATATTATTATTAATGCTGATAGTCGTTCTTAACATCGAATATTGTGTCCAAAGCGTAAAACTTTTTATTTTTTTCGCCAATTCGGCAAAATAAGCCACTAAAACGTTCTCTGAAAATGAGTGTGTGTTCTCACCTTTTTTCCAATTCATGAAGAGGGCATAAGATCGTTGATATAATTTTTTTGATGTTGGTGGCAACAAATTTAAAGTTGTTACTTTTGCAGCTTCCTTTATGTTTGGTGGTGTTAATTCTATATCACTATCACTGTCCATTTTATTAATTTATTTCATAAAAAAAGATAATTATCGTAAGTTCTGTCAAAATTAATTATACTGACAGTAACGTCAAAATGATATTATAGCCGCCTTAGTTTTTGATCTACTAAATTAAAATTTCATTTCGCACGCGTTGCTGGGCAACCCGTGCCATATGAAATGTTGTGTAAAATGTGTATAATATAAGTTCCAATAGCCGAATCAAAATGATGATTTATCATTGCAGCCGTAGAAAAAAAAAAATTTCTCGAAAATGTTATGTAACATATTACAAAATTTTGCTTCCTTACGTGAAAAATGTACTCTTTTAATAATTGATACCTTCCATCAAAAAAAAGATGTTGTTATTTAAAAAAAAACTGATGATAATGACATATCCCGAAAAGTGATGACGTCATAAAAAATATACTTGCATCAAAAGATGCATATGTAAAAAATCTACCTGTCTGAGCATTTTTTGTGACGTGTCCATTAAAACCAAAAATCTGTTGTCCTACCAATTATGCACAACCCTGTATAATCTATTTTTCTATTAGTCATTGATTTTTGTGCGTTACTGGTTAGATCAGATTTGTGTTCTATTAATTCCGTGGTAAACTAATGATTTAAAAAATTTTGAAAACCATGAATTCAAATTGCCTGATTGGTAAAACTAAACACTATTCACTAGCATCCAACTGTAGTTATCAATAGTAAAAAAATGTGGGTGAAGTGGCTCAGTCGTAAAATGTGGATTTTCGGAGACATGTGTACCGGGTTCGAATTCCATGAGCAGTGATTATTAAGATAACACGATTTAAAATCACCATTATGAGGTTACTAAAATATTGGTTAAAATGTGCAGGCCAGTTTGGACTGATCCAGTCATGCTTTTTGTTTATCGAGAGCATCTAGAATCTTCTAGACAGGCCTGGAACACTCTGTCTTCTATATAATTACCACAACTTTTTCGCAATATGTCAGTTCAAGTTGAGAAATAGTTGTTAGCAGATTAATATTGTCCATATAAATTAGTAAATAAGTATAAATAAACAATACAATAAGTGTAACCCAAAAGTTAGTCTGTAGCATTAACATATGTTTTAATTTGTTTTTTATTATGTTCACACGTTTATCCAAGTAAAACATTGTTTTCATTTTTTACGATTTTTCCACGGCCCATCGACGTTCACGAATGCGGTTTGCCCATCTCCGTAAAGTCATTACTCATATTCTTGTACAAAAATACAAGCTATAAAACTTGTTGAAATAATTCAATGATAGGTTTTGCTCCGCAAAGACCTGTCACATACCGCATGAACATATTTTTCCTTCAGATTTCCAACGGCAATTATTTATTTAGTGCAATTACCGAGCTCACAATGGCAGTTTTCTAAATTCTTTGTTTTTACCCGATTGTTAGAATAAGAGGCCGAAGAGCCGCGGGTATATATGTTGCGCTATTATAAATAAATTCTTGGGAGTTTTTATTTTGGAATTCTCCCAAAGAAATACAATACAGGCCTTTCAGCGGCGACATGGATATATAGCGGCGTACTCGGACCTGAATTCGCTAAATTGGGATCGTGTAGAATTGGAGACAAGAATTGGTACCGATTGCTGAAATTGTTGACCGTTTTGAATCATTATATTCGATAAAGAATTGCATTGGATGATTTATTAATTAAAAAAATAATTTTTTTTAAATGAAAAGAAGCGTATAAAATATGTTGCGAAACAATATCAATGCAGCGAATATTAATTAATAGTTTGATATTTTGTTCATCTATTATATCTCTTTTGAGACACTGGTAGTTGTTGACTGCCTTTAATGATTTTCCGCCATCTTCTGTCTATGCAGGGTGTTTCATAATATATGCGCAGGACTTCAGGACGTGATAGCTCGTCCAAAAATATGAAATAACTTACCCTCTAAAATGCACCATTTTCGAGATATAGGGTGTTGAAATTAAAAAAAAAAATTTCTTCGCCACTGGAAAAACTACGGTTTTGAGACAACCATTTGAACCGCCAACGTTTTCTACACAAAAAAGGTACTTTTGGTCATATGCTCTAAAGTCGACCGTTTTCGAGAAAAATCAAATTTTAATGTTGAAATACATGGTCAATTTTTGGAAATAAAACAAAATTTGATTTTTCTTGAAAACGGTTGACTTTAGAGCGTATGACCAAGAGTACCTTTTTTGTGTAGAAAACATTGGCGGTTCAAATCTCGGTTCAAATTGGCGTCTCAAAACCGTACTTTTTCCAGTGGCGTAGAATTTTTTTTTTTTTAATTTCAACACCCTGTATCTCGAAAATGGTGCATTTTAGAGGGTAAGTTATAGAAACTTTTTTTTATATTTTTGGACGAGCTATCACGTCCTGAAGTCCTGCGCATATATTATGAAACACCCTGTATATCCATTTTTAATTAATCTATAATTACCACTTTATTAACACAAAATATTACGATTTAATTTTAATTCCATTTTTCTCTTTGTTGTACTTAAATTCCGTATTGATTTCCGCAAAGCGATGTTGTCATTAAATATATTTATTATATGAGACAAATATAACTCAAAATCTCTCTCACATGCAATGTGGGATAGCATGGAAAAAATTCGTATAAATAAAAAGTTCTTTGGTTTTTTCGCTCAAATAATTTTATTTTTTTTTTATATTTTATACATTTTATACATATATTTCGGAAAATACAATTTCTTCTGGTACAGTCAATTTATAAAAAGTATGGGGACGAATACAACAACTTAAATTTTTTTTAAATAAAACAAGTGTATTTGAAATAATAATTTGGTTTAAGACCTCTCCATAGATGCAAGGGAACTTCTATGAATTTTTTTCACCTACATACATGTGTCAAACAAAGAAAGGAGACGTAATACTAGATATATGTAACATATAATAACAGTTTTAATATTTATACCTAATGTCTAAACGTTGAACAATGTCTGTATGTATTACGTGGAAAAATCACTTAAAAAAATCACTAATTTTTGTTTGTTTTTGGGATTCGTAACTTCTACACTTTAAAATCTCCTTCACTTTTCTAAGCTGAAGCACATAAATATCATCATTTCCAGGCTCTTCTTCAAAATATTGGACAAGTACATTTACTGCATCCCCTGGTTCTCGATGACTTGTTTTGATGACGCAATTATTCTCATCATCATCCATAATCTGGTATCCTTTTTCTTCGTAATCACATTCTATCCATTCCTGTATTTTTTCGATGTCCATTTCTTCCAAACCTTTGATTTGGGAAGCTATAGATGTTATATTTCCGATTGACAACTCACCTTCATTTAAGTCATTATCATCTTCAGTACCTTCTTTATCTAATGTATCTTCTAAGTTCATTATTTTATTAAATGTTTTTTTTAATATTAGTCGCTTTTACTTCACTCCAAGAGCGAGCTACAGCATACATTGCTTCTTTCAAATTTAGGCGTTTCCAAAAACCCCATAAAGTCACATTCTCCCAGCAGTTGAAGCATAAGGTCTCCTATAAAGCCTTTTCATGGTCTCTTATAACACCTTGGTCCATTGGCTGGGCAATAGATGTTATATGCGGAGGAAAATATGCTGCGAATATGTTCTGCTGACTTGCTCAACATCAGGATGCGATGGCTCATTATCCAGTAATAGTACAGCCTTGGGTGGAAGATTATTTTCTTGCAAATAAGCTCTAACTTGGGGTATACATTTTTCGAAAAACTTTTTGATTATAATAATCCAGCAGGCAATGTTTTTACATTTTTAAAAACCCATGTATTTTTGGGTTTTCCTATAACTGTTAACCTAAGCTTATGGGTTCCTGATGCATTAGCAGAGCATAATACTGTTAAACGATCTTTTGCTTACTTTGAAACCTAAAAAAAAATATTACTTTGAAAAAACACTGTATACGTAAAAATATGTTTGTAAAGCTAACCTGGTGCACTAGTTTCTAAGCCTGCAGCAAATGTTTTTGTCGGCATTGCTTTCCAGTAAAGTCCAGTTTCGTGTCCATGATACTCTTATTCAGATTTTAAGTCGTGCTCCTTTATAAGATTTTCCAAATCACCAAAATTCTACAATAGCTACTTCATCAGCACTTAATTTCTCCCTTTGAACAGCTAATTCTCGTATTCCATGACCTTTTTTAAACCTGTATAGTCAATCAGAAGATGCCGCAAAGTTTCCTTTAATTTTCAACTGCATGTGAAACTTTTGAGCTTGCCTAGCATACATAGGTCCTGATATTGGAACACCTTCTGATCTTTTCTGCAAGAACTACCTGGTCATAGCATCATCAAGCTTTCGGAATGTAGATCCTTTTAGAGATTTCCTATGAGAAATAGCTTTTATTTATAACCATATATGTAATGTTGTCATTACTAACGTCATTGAAGGTTGGGAAGTGTCACATTACACACCTCTACTTCCCGCCCTCACCTCGGTAGGAAGTTTTATTCCTGTCTCGAGATCATAGCTAACCTCGACGTTTCGCGTCTCGGTGATCTAACTAATCTCACAACAGGAATGAAACTCTTCCCACCTCGGTGTGTAATATACTATTGCACTGTCAGCTTTAGCTACAAAGCTCTGTAATTCGGCTTTTTTCTTCACAATGTCACGAACCGTTTGTTTTCCAATGTTATATGTTTTAGCCAACATAGCAACATTTATGTTATTTTTAAATCGTTTTAAAATTTCCATTTTTTGTTCAATAGTTAGAACATTACGATTATGCTTTTCATTAGCACCGGTACGCTGCATTTTGTTCGTCTGTTTACGTTTAACTAACGAGCAGTGTTGCCAGGTCAAGAAGAACGTAAGCGGTAGAATTATTGTCGTAAAAGAAGCGGTAGATTTAATTAATGTTTGAAAATTACTGTTTTTGCGAATTACTAAATGAAAATAAAAACCAAAATGCATTTTTCCTGTTGTACTTATGTTTTATTTGACTAATAAAATGTAACAATATAGTAAAAAACAAAAATAATCGCCAAACAAAAAAATCCAATTTTTTCAAACTCATTCTGAATCAGAAAAGTTATCAGATTTTTTGTACATATTATTATTATGAAAAGAAAGCAACTGTTGGTCAATTTGTAAATTAAAACATTCGCTGCTACCTATGTATTCCTTAGAATGCATTAGGCCAACAATACTACTAGTCGATAATAAGTTTCTATTTCGTTTTGAGTAAATAATTTGCGAAAATTTCCTTTCTGCGTCTGCAGAGGGATGAGGTAAACATAGAATATTGAGTGCAAAGTTTGTGAGCAGCGGATATACTAAAGTGCCATCCGCATATTGCTCAGCTTGTACGTTTAGCCAAAATGATGTTATTGATAGATTATCTTTAAAATTTTTAAAAAAATCAGAATTTTTAAACTGTCTCCATTCGTTATCAATTTTTTGAAAATCCTTTTCAGCTATTAAGTTTGGAAAATGTATTATCAAGGGTACTATAGATTCTTCGTTGCCTTCAAAAATACATTTAGGATTTATCAGTGACATAGATTTTAATATAATGTTATCGAAATCGTATCTTTTAGAAATCTGAAATGCTGCCTCAATATAAAAATTCAGACAACGTATGCGAAGAACATGTAACTTATCAGAAGACAAATTTTGTTTTAAAATATATTGCGTTGTTTTTGCACCCAAATATACATTTTCAATTGGCTTGTAGTTGTCTGGATTTTTAACATTGATTTTATATAGGGAACTGTTATCTAAAATATTTTTTTTACAAAATATTCCAAAAGGGTTTTGTTAAGATTACACAACCGAGAATGAAGAATATAAAGCTTTGGCTCCGAAAACTGCATTTTCTTTAAATTATTAAATAATGGTAATATATGTTCTAAAAATAACAGAAAAGCTAAAGTTGACGGATCTTGTAAATTATTCAAAAATGTTTCTGCTGATTGCAAGCTATCAGTTGAAACTGCGTCGATGAAGAAAAGTTTTAAAGCATTGTATTGCTCAATTATCCTGCAAACAACAGCTTCCAAAGACAGCCAGCGCGTTTGTGCATTGTTTGGTCTGAGTAAAGTTTTGAAATTCTTTAAGAACTTCCACCCTTTTTGGACTATTTCCAACATAATTATAAACATCCCTCACACAATCTTCAACACCTTTCGGAAGTTTTAAACATGCATTAGATGCGCATAAAGCAAAGCTATGACAAATACATCTCATGAGGAAAATGTGAGGAATATCTCTCTTTAACCTGGACATCAACGAGTCGTTAGCTCCAACCATAAGGTTTGCTCCATCAGATGCAAAGCCAATAAGGTTTTGTAAAAACGGAATCCGTTTTTCATCAAAAAAATTAACAATTTCTTTGTAAATATCGGCAGCTCTAGAACTTTTCATTTCAATAAAAGTCAAAAATGTGTCATGAATTCTAAAAAAATAATATACAACGTAATTTTTTTTTATCTTTATAGTCAAAACTTACTTTTTTTTTTAATATGAAGGGGGAGAAAAGTCCTTTATATCTCACAAAGAAAGTCAATGTTTAATTATTTAACAAAACATTGAGTGCGACCGGTCGCACTCAATACTACATGTAGTATTCCCTAGTGGATGGAGAGTATGGCGAGCCTGAAGATGAAGTGATGACACTTCGAAACCGGTCGCACTCAATATTTTGTTAAATAATTAAACATTGACTTTCCTTGTGAGATATAAAGGACTTTTTCTCCCCCTTCACCTTAAAATTACCTCAACTCACACATGGCTACCCCCCTTGTCAAAACTTACTTATTTTCATAAAAATATCGGGCAACAATCACTAGATGTTTTTTAGTGCTTAAATCTGTTGACTCATCTATGATCTCAGAAAATTTGGATGACCTTAATATTGCATAGATGTTATTGGAGCCTGATTGACCAATTACATTTTTTACTATGGCAGTAGTCTTTGTTCTGCCGCATTGAATATTTTTAGCAATTTCAGAATCACTACATATCTTTAGATATAAGTGATGGAAGATGTTCTGTTACTCTAAAAGGCTATGAATGCTGAAATATAGCAATACGCTTTTTTCATAGATGTTTCTAGATTTATAGTGCCTTTTGTCCTGATAAAAGAGGTCAAAGTTTGCTGTTTATTAATGCTTTTTGATTTTTTTCTGTGTATTTCACTATCCTGATAGCTTACAAGTTGCAACTTTCCAGAGCTTACACTAATATTTCTGTTGCACACTTTACAATAGGCTTCTGTTTTTGAATTTCCAGCAGCTAGCCAATTTTTAAATTCTTCCTCCCATTCTTTCTTATATTGCTGATTATACTTTCTCTTTTTTATTTTTAGCCTACTTGACGATTCAGCTTCAGAATCCGATAAATTTGAATCATTATAACTAAAATCATGCATGCACCTATTTAATATTTTGATATATCAAGAATATTGTATTAATAATAATTGTGTTAATATGTCTGTTCTAACAATAATTTGTATTAATAATTGTGTCAATATTTCTGTTTTAACAATAAGTTGTATTAAATTTTAACCAATTAATTTAAAAGTATGAATAAAAGATTTAGCGGTAGATATTAATAGCTTTGCGGTAGAGCGGTAGTGCATAGCATGAAAACGGTAGATCTACCGCAAAAACGGTAGACCTGGCAAGACTGCTAACGAGTACGAGACGGTCGGCAGTTGGCGAAAATAATAAGTAAATACATAAATCGGGGATTTTCATAGACGAACTTGGTGATTCCCCGAGACGAACGTCTGAACGGTGCATTATTTAGTTCAGCGTTCAAGCGCCAACCTCTGGCCGTCAGCCACAGATAACCCGCGCACGGATGATCTATTTAAAATGCCGCACGGAAAATCCGCCGCCCGGATAAAGCGCTCACGGATAATCGGGGTTCTAATGTAAGAAAGTTGGTATTTGCCACTGTTACATGACACACCCTGTATAAAAAGTTTTTGTTAAAAAAAATGCGCAACTAAAAATACCAATTGACGTGTCGAAGCGTATTTCCAAATACGCCCCCATTTATTTATTACCGAATTTATTCCCTTTGGCTGTTCCACACTACATATTGCTTAATAAAATAACGGATTATAATTATCCCATCGAACATGACCACATTTGACGGGTTGGATTCCCTTCTGAGTTTATATTATTATATCTATGCTTTCCAAATGTCGCCCGACCAATATTTATTTGCCTTCGCGTCAGTTCTTAAGTATTGACTCTAGTTATCAAATGGTTTATATTTAATCACCGTTACAGCTGTTAATCAACATAATCCATTGTAATGATATCGTTGGTTATTAAAGACTAATTTCAAAAGAGATCGTTATTTGAATTTTATGCTTCATTAACTGGCTCGACAGTTAAAAA